TCAATTAAGATGTTATAAATGATAAAAATGACTTTTTGATAGAAGATTATTTAGGATAAATAATCTTAACCAAAGTTATAGTATATGTGATAAGGATTCCGTACATATAGAGAATGCCTAAATCTGAGTTCGTGAGAGGAAGTTATGAATTTTCTAATATTTCAACGTATTAGTATACGGCTCAGAAACCGAAATTGAAATTATTCGATTGCTAGGAAAAACAATCTAAACGAGATTTCTCGTCAACATCTATCCGTCAATATAAGGACAGTCGAAAACGGACACCATATGAGAGAGTTATGAATTTTTAACGGACTTTAACAATCTAAGCCTGTTAAAAATATAACTTTAAAAATAAATTCCAAATTAGCCGACAGAGTCTAAATGAAGTTGTAGATCTCGTTGATAGCTACGCGTGGATATAAAATGCATTGAAAATGGAGCTCGTACGGAGAAGATATAATTTTTTTAAAGAAATAAGAATTCTCCGCACGTACTTGCGTGCGCCGACCACATGCGCGACATGCATATGACATACCACAATAATTAGACACATGTCACCATAGAGAAGCTACCATGTCACATTTTCCGACAATTTGCACGACGCACACAGACAGGTGTGCGGCGTGCAGTTCAAATTCAACTATAAATAGCAGTCGAAATTCAATAATTTTCTCACATATTTTCTTCCAGAATTCTTTGGATTTATTTCGTACCTCTCATCCCTTTTACTTTCTAGTTCCCGAACCCTTCGGCGAATCCCTATAGTGTCAGATAGTTGGTGAATAGAAGCTCCTGGATCTGAGTTCTTCCTGCATAATTGTTGGGTTTTTATCAGAATACCTTGTAAGTTAAGTTACACTCTTTTTCTTTCGGTGTAACTGATATTTATAGTCATAAGTCGTTATTATTAACCTATAAATAAGATTTATCAGTAATTCCAAGTCATTATACTGATTGGTCTACTTGCGGGAGTGATGTCTAGGCTGGATTTAGTGAGATGTTTAAAGTGAGATTTCCAAACAGTATACTCTATATACCAAACAGACCCTACATCTGATATGATCCTACCTGGTTGTTCCTTACTTGATAGATCTTGATGTACACATTAGGATTAGTGAGTAATCTAGACTATCATTAGTCACCAAGAATATTAGACTAAGACTTACTTACACTCGTATCTAGGTCACCTCAAAGGAAAAGTCAAGTAGTTTGGCGGAGCACTACTGAATTCTCCAGTCACCTAAGTCAGGTGAGTGCATTGTCCCTTTCATGAACATGATTATTATACAAATATTAATTAAAGTATTAAATATCTGTTAGAAATTCTATATGTGAACTATATGCTTATTTCCTGAAATATATGTTAGAAATATATATGTTTATATACAAGGTGCGAACCATATATGGGTCTATATGTGTTATAGTATATAAATAATATTATTACGTCAAAAATAAATAATAGAAGTATTATTTGTGAAAAATATAAAGAAAATATAAATACTCTATGTTAGTATTAGGATAGGGTTGCCTAAAATATAGTTGGTATTTCAAAAAGGTTCATAAGCCAGGTAGTCTTGCCTGTTAAGGAAATAAGACTTATAAAAGGATGCTTAGTTTGAATTAAGTTGAATAATAGGTAGCATCATGTTAAGGGTATATGCGTTAGGAACGGAGAGTAGAACTCTATCATAGACACTATCAGGTGTTGATGTAGGGTAGTTCCGTACTGGAGTACAATATAATATTCCGTTTGGATGACCAGGGATGGTGGGTCCAGATCAGACAACTGTAATGGTATGTTTGCATAATTTTTTGGATGACCAAAAATGGTGGGTCCAGATCAGGCAACTGTAATGGTATGTCTGCATAATCTTTTGGATGACCAGAAATGGTGGGTCCAGATCAGGCAACCGTAATGGTATGTGTGCATATTCTAAAAGGTTCATTAGGCGAGTTAATTCTTCTTGATAATCGTAGACTAGGATATGTGAGGATCGATTGGGGTGAGTATGTTTAGGTATGAGGGTTTATAGATATCCAAGTCGTAGGCACATTTATATATTGTTTTGTAGCAATTGGTTTTACAATATTAATATATATATATATATATATATATATATATATATATATTATAATATAATAATAATAATAATAATAATAATAACAACAATATTGTGGGATTCAAATCCCTATGTATTCACTAGGTTTGCCAACCTGACCAACTCAGTTTCTTTGTATCACATGAAACAATACGCATGTACAATCCACTGGGAGATTCAAGGAGTTTAGGTCATTAGTACAATAAGTTAACGTAAGTCCTGTAACGATTTTATGCTTATGTTTCTTGTATCAGTTATGACATCTAAAGTTATAATAATTAATGAAAAACATTTATTCGGAAATACTTTTACAGGATCCAATTCCGCATTTGTAAATAAACTATGTTTTTAAAATAAATATAAACAAATAAAACGGTCTTTTTTAGCCAAGAAATTTGGGGACGTCATAGTTAATTAAGTCACGCATGCCTATTTTGTTCATTTTTAGAATGTCAACCACTATGACATAGTACTTGTAACAAGGAATGGTGGCTTGGTATTGTGAATGTAATTTGTGGTTTGGTATTACTTTGGAATGTTTATTTGTTTGTATTGTGAATGCAATTTGTATTATGAATACACCATACTACTTGTAATCAAACCATACTACTTGTCAACACATACATTTGGAACAAACCAAATTTCATAGATTTGATATAGCTTCCCATTGTAAAATAAACAGGGAATCCATACATTTCATAAAACATAATTACACATCCTAAAATTACATAACTATAAACCAAACAATTACAATCAAACCAACCAACACTAAATCTTCCAACCGCTAACAACAATTCTACCTTCACCTTGCACTACTTTTTGCCACCAACTTCTTCCATAAAGTCTTTAAATTCGTCATCATTTACTTGAAATCCATGGTTGTGAAAAATCCAAGAACATGTCTTTGTACCATTGTTTTGGTAACGGAGGATCCATCCACTCAAAAAATTTGCAATCACCTCCTTATCCTGCATTGAACGACATTCTGAACATTATAACTTATATTATGTTTAATTTCAAATAATTGAAGATACTCACCTTGAAATTGGGGCAACCAATGAATCTCCCTCCAGGGTTTTTCGGTTTCCATGAAGTCCACCTACTAATTGGATCATCACAATCACACCTTCTTCGACCTTGCTTGGATGACCGATTAGCACTACTGTTGGAGACGATGGATGAGAACGCCATATTTGACCTAGCTTGGATGATCGATATAGGTTTTGGCTTTGTTTTTTACTGTTACAATGTATTAAATAAAATGAGGTGTTGAATCAGCTGCCACATAACCTCATTTAATGCCATGTAGATTTGTTACCGGTTGCAAATGGTGGTTACTAGCTAAAATGGGTCAATTTGTCGTTTTATCCGGTATTCCATGTTTTTCGATTTTTTATTTTATTATTATTATTACTATTATTATTATTATTTTAAACAGGACGAAAATAAGTAGAACATTAGCTATAAAAATCGACAAATTTATGCTTTTTAAGAGGAAATTTCATCTAAGGCCTTGTTTGATACCCGTCTGACTCAGTCTGGGTCAGCAATTTGGGTTGACTCGGTCAGACGAACCTGTTTGATACCTGCTGAGCGGGTCAGAATGTCTGGCCCAAATGACTTACTCGGCCAGCTTACAACATGTTGCTGACTGGAACAAAAGACTCTCCTGCCCTCTTCTTTCTTCTTCCCTCTCGACCTGAAAGAAATACGCAGCAACAAAAAAAATCATCGCTATCCTGCTTCTCCACAACCACAGACGCCTCCTCCTCCTCCTCCCAAGATCGGCGCCATTTTTCCTTCACTCTGACCTCCATCTTCTCCGGCCAGAGCCTCCGCCTTCTCCGCCCAGAGCTGCGTCAACAAAGGTAAGCAACCTCTCTTTCTTTCGTCTTTTTTTTTTTAAACCAGTAGATCGAATGGCTGTTCTTCCGTGTTTGTTTATAATGTAAGAAATTAGAATCTATTGCTTGTATGAGTTATGAAAATCTGAATCAGAATTCTTTTTTTTTTTTTTTTTTAGTTTTGGTTCCAATTTACCCTCTGTTTTGACTTCCTAAACTCAGAACTGCATTCTCCCTACAAATGGTTAATGCACTTGAAACTTTCCCACTTTCTTATGAGATGCATATAGCTGGTTTTCTTGTGCTTTGGGTATATTACCTGGGATTAATTGTGAGTTCTATTAATGCATATCCTTATCATGTTGATGATGATTAAGCTTCTAACAAAATAGATGAAATGGTGGCTGATGATGAATGAAATGGATTTTGTATAATGCTATTATGTGGTTATTTTTGGTATAACTTTATTGTAATTGCTTGAGTTTCTATTTATACAATCTTATTTCATTCTAATTTGTAAATACTTTATTAAATCTAAATTTTCAATGTTCTAATCAAGAATCAAATTTATTGTTATGAACTTATGATTCTTGAATTCATGTGGGATTTTGGTGATCTTTGCTCATACACACATACATACATATCATGTGTTAAATGAAGATGAAGGCTATGATTTTGGAGGCTGATATGGAGATAAAGGTAAAATAGACATTTTTCATCAGTCAGCCCATTAGTCAGATGTACAATCAAATAACATGATTTCTTACCCATTCAGGATTTCTTATCCGATTAGACCTTTTCCAGTCAGCCCTTTCTCAGCCAGTAACTATGAAATTTATTACCCACTCAGGATTTCTCAGCCAGTAACTATGAAATTTATTACCCACTCAGGATTTCTTACCCAGTTAAACCTTTTCGGCACACTTTCTCAGCTAGGAACTATGATGGACATAAGTCTAGTTATGTGAATCTTGGTCTGTTGAAATTTACGAAGTCACGCTCTCCAAAATCTCTCTTCACATTGTCTCCTTCCACTCTCTCTCTCTCTCTCTCTCTCTCTCTCTCTCTCTCTCTCTGGTATCCGTCAGTTTCTTCGTGACAAACCCTACTCGCCATGGGCGATTTTGGTCGGATTTCAGTCCATAACGCTCTCGGAGGTGGCCCAGGTCTATCTCATTTCATCTCATCGCACTTTGATTGTAATCGCTGCCAATCTCAATCTGAGAAACGATTCATTCAGTTACAATAGTCAATTGAATATCTGTATGCATTTTGTGATGTAATTCGATTGGGATCGTGATATTTGCGATTTATTTTCTCTACCTGATGCAATCAATTGAATCGTTGTTGCGAATTTTGGTTGTGCAGTTGCTGATATATTGCTATGGAGGAATTATTACGGAGGAGGAGCGGTATTAATCGGTTCCACCATCCTGTGGTTCCTATTTGAAAAAGGAGGATATAACATCATCGCATTCATCGCCAATAATCTACTGCTTTTGGTTGTTATACTCTTTCTCTGGGCTAAATCTGCATCCCTTCTCAATAGGTTTGTCTAATATGTCTCTGTAGACTAATTACAGATCACCAATTGATTAAAACCATATTCAATTCTGGCGCAAGAAGTTTTAACAAGTCTACCTAAATCAACACTTCTTCCATATCAATATTAGAGCATGCTTTACTTAGATTTGCATACATGAATCCGATCTCGGAGTCCACATTCTAAGATTTTCTACACATATAATTGCTAAATGTAGACCTCTCCCTCCAATTCCTGAACTGGACATTTCAGAGGAAACTGTTCTTATTGCTGCTGATGAGATGCAAGTGTGGGTAAATCATGTCTTTTCACTCGCACATGCAATTGCAGTTGATGGAAACTTAAAAGCTTTGATGCTGGTATGATCCTATCAACATTCTCCTTCTGCTTTCTTGAATTCTTTTGCTTCAAACACTGGATTATAATTATACAATCACATAATTTGTGTTTGATTCCTCAGGTTGTGTCTAGCTTATGGCTGATTTCTTATATTGGTAGCTTTTTTAACTTCCTTACATTGATCTATATAGGTGAGTTTTTTTATTTCTTTCTATGCAAAATATTGTATATATGGTTTTGAAACATAAAACTTCCCATAACATGTTCCAATTCTTTATTTCATTTCAGGGGTACTTGTTAGTTTATCAGTACCTTTCTTATATGATATGTTCCAGTCCCAAGTGGATGGAAAGTTAATTGTAGTACACAAGATTTTGCATCCAGTCTTGAGGAAAGCTGATATTGTCTTTAAAATGATACCTTCAGTACAATATAAGCAAAAGAAGAATCAGTAGCTAATAAGTACATGTTAACAAGGTAAATTCTCTCTTTCCTCTTTGCACATGATAAATATTTTGTCCCAAAAGTTTTTAGTAGGATGCTCTGTGTGCTTGTTTTCCTTTACATCAAAAGAACAAAGAGTAAATTACATTTTTAGTCCCTGTGTATACCTGATTTTTGCAATTTTGGTCCCTCTTTGAGGTTCTTGTCATGTTTTTGGTCCCTGTTTCAAGTAAAATGACTATTTTTGATTCCTGAGTATAGCTGATTTTTGCATTTTTTGTCCCAAAAATTGTTTTCTCTTGCAATTTTGTCCCTATTTGAGGTTCTTGTAACGTTTTTGGTCCCTGTTTCAAGTAAAATGACTATTTTGGTCCTTGAGTATAGCTAAATTTTGCAATTTTTTTGTTTCATTTTTTCAATCAGTCATTTCTTTTTTCCGAAAAAACTTGTAAACGTGAGGGTTTTTTCAGAAAAAAATAAAATAGTTGAGGGTTTTTTCGGAAACAATTAGAAGGTTTTATTTATTTATTTTTTTTCGCAAAAAAAGACAGTTGAGGTTATTTTGCAAAAAATGAAAAAATACAAGTTCAGGAAAAAATAAAGTTGAGGTTTAATCCGGAAAAAAACACAAAATATAAGGTCTTTTATGAGATTAACTCTTAAAAATAAGAGTAAATTGCAAAAGTGGTCTCTTTGTTCATTGATTTTAAATGTGATTGTCTAAAACTGAAACCTTTTTCAGTTTTGGTCCCTGTCTCTAGGTTTCTTGTTGATTTTGGTCCTTGAAGCCTTGAATAAGAACTAAATTTGATTCGAATTCTTGAAATAAGGACCAAATCTGAAAATTGTTGGGACCAGAATTGATGTGAAACCATGAAATAAGGACCAAAAAACTGAAAAAGGTTGCAATTTTGGACTAAATACGGTATTAAAAACCACAGGGACCATTTTTGTAATCTATTCTAAGACTAAATTGCATTTTTGATCCTTTGCTTATTTTTTTTGGTCAAAAAAGGAATCTTTTATGCAATTTTGGTCTTTATTACTCTTTTATCAAGTATTTGGTCCCTAGGTTGCCCATTAGTTAAATCTATTAGACGATTTTGCCCTTGTTGCTTTCATCTTCTTTCTCTTCTTTATTGGGCCCTAAAATTTAACTCCTTATCCATTCTTAATTCCTCAAAATTAGAACAACCCTTGTGATTTAATACTATTCAACAGAAAACTGCAAAAGTTGCAAAAAAAATTATATTTTGGACCAAATTATAAAAAACAGGGACCAAATTTGTAATTTAGTCTACATTTTAGTGATTTTAAGCTTACAAAAGCACTTGGAACCAACTTTGACTAATATGTATTGATTTGACTTTTTATTGTCAAATCAACTACCTTCCAAAATTTGTCTTTATTATTATTATTTTTATTATTATTATTATTATTATTATTATTATTATTTATGATGAGGATTGTTTTATTATTATTTTTTTTAAGTGTAACAAAAAATTGTAATTTTTGTTATATTGATATCAGCCTCAGTCATACAGTCTAATGCGTGTCAAATATAGTCATGTTTTGATATGTCACAAAGGACATCTAAGTGGTTCAAATGTAGCTTGGATTTTCTATTTAACACTAATATATTTACAGGTTTTTGCTATGGCATGTTGAGATCATGGTAGTTTTTGAGGGTGTGAAAGTTTGGTGAATGCAAAGAGAGATAATCATGGTTTTTTTCTTGGGTGTTATGGAAGCCATTTATTTACCTTCAAGCTTCTTGGATAGTTTTCTTTATATATATAATTTTGTTTTGGTTGATTCTTCTATTCGTGATTTATCAAACATAAACACTATATTTTTCAAGATTATGCTTGCTTAATTGTTTGTTCATAATTATAAGTTTTAACGACATTGTTGACTAACACTTTGTAATTGCATACTTTTCGATAAAGTTTGAAATTCGCAACGGACTTATTTTTTGGTCCTAATATCAGTTAATAGTATTTTCTCTCGTATTAATTTTTTTTAATATAAGCTATTTATAAGTCATGTTATAGAAAATTAATATATTAATCTTTATAATTTTTTGAAAACCAAAGAGTTTTGAAATTCAAAAAGAGAATATTGCAGCCCAACTCGACCTTTACAAACAGCCAAAAGCAGCCCAACAAAAAAGTTAATGGCGCTTTTAGTAATTTAGTTTATGGCTTTTACTTGAGGAAACTTTTTCTTGATTTCGTGTGTTGACAACATGTTTTTTGGAATTTAAAAAAGCTACATGGTCAAAATAAAATATTATAAAATTCAGAAAAGAGTTGTGTTGATGTGGATCAAATAATAATATTTGAATATTAGTTTCATATTTAATACACTTTTAATTAAAGTAAAATACTTTATAATACTATACTTAAATTCTGTTAAACTAAATGCTTTGGAGCTTATACTGTTATACATGTAGGGGTAGGCTTGCACAAAAAAACCGGTTCAGGATCCGAACCGGTCACTGAACCGGTAAACCGGTTCACTACGAACCGGTCCACTATGAACCGAACCGATTCAAGAACCGAACCGCCGGTTCGCACCCGTTCGAGATTTTAGATATTGAAACCGGTTTAGAACCGGTTTAATAACCGTGAACCGGTTTGGAACCGATCGAACCGGTTTAGAACCGGTGTAACCGGTTTAGACAGGTTCGAGATTTTCTATGACGGAACCGGTTTGAACCGAACTGGTTTATGGTTGAACCGGTTTTACTATTCACGAATCTGAACCGAACCGGTTCGGTTTGAAAAAAAACCGGTTTGTTCACCCCTATGTAGGGGTGTTTGAAATTGCTTATTTAAAATACTTATTTATTTATTGTAGTTGAATACTGTTAATAAACCATTTTAGGGGCTATCCGCTAACCTCTGAATAAAATCATTCATGGGTAATCGTTGAATCGGTCAACGTTGATCTATTAATTAACCAAAAGCCTTGAAATTGTTTGAACAGAAAAATTATTAAAAAAAAAAAAAAATACTTGTTAGCTTGAATTATAAGTTTTTGATAAGTTGTTTAGTACTTATTTATTTAAAACTCCTTATAAAAAGTAAAATATTATTTACAATTTTACTCTTAATTTAAGTATTTTTTTTTTCTCATTTTCCTTCACCACGCAATAACATGTTTCAACCTTTCCCAAAAAAAACTTATCTATCATTCTCTTTATTTCTTCTTCTCCACAAGGCATGTTCACCGGTAAGAATGAAATAAAAAATTTAATATTACATACATATCTGTCTTATTATATTTTTGATGCTTTTATCTAGTTATTTTTATATATTATTAATATACGTTTTTTTGGAAAAATATACACCATAATGTTATTAATATAATCGTATGTAAAAAAATATATTTTTTAATATTATTGGTTTCAAGTTTTTTAAAACATATATTTATAAATGATAAAAAAACAAGTTACTATATGTCTCGGGAAGAAAGGTAAGGATGGAAGTTTGGTTAAGAAAAAAAAAATACATGGTGTTTCTTTAATCAATGAATTTATTAAATATAGCGAGTTGGGGAATCTCCTTGGGTAAATTTATGAACTAACATCAGGGAAAATATATGATATTCAGAGATTTTAACGCAGTTTGGAGTCTAGGTGAAAGGGTTGGATCAAGTTTTTTGACAAACCACATCTAATCATTTTAATGAGTTTATTAGTAATGGAAGGTTGTATGATTTTCCATTGGGGGGATATAATTTCACAAGTGTTAGTAGGAATGGTGAGAAGTTAAGTAAATTAGATAGATTCTTGATCTCAGAAGATATCTTAGAGGTGATACCTAACATCATGGCGATTGTTCTTGAAAGGGTTGGCTCGTATCATAAAACCTATTTTGTTGAAACAGGAGGATGTTCATTATGGTCCGGTTCCATTTAAACTAGTTCATTCTTGGATGGAGTGGGAAGATTTTGGTGATATTATGTGTGGGAAGGAACAAATGGAGATCAAAATGCTAGAAAGAAAATCTCTTTATAGATAAGTTGAAGAAATTAAAGTATATTCTTAAAGTAGAGTTTAAAAAGAAGTTAAATTTTACTGGTGGTGAAAAGAAAGATTTGTTACAAAAACTTACCATTATTGAAAATGAGATTGATATGGGAAATGCTAACCAACAAATGATAGCCGACCGTGATAATCTTACTATTAAGTTGTGTGATTTTGAAAAAAAAAGAGAAATGATGGATTTGAGTAAAAAAGACAAGTTTAAATGAGCTATAGATGAGGCAAAAACTCAAAATATTATCATGGGGTTCTAAATAAAAAGTGAAGAAACTTAGTAGAATTAAAAAAGATGGAGTTTGGTTAGACGAATCGTGGTGTGTTAAAGTTGCATTTTTTTAGTATTTTAAAGAAAAATTCAAGAAATTTGATGGGGTATCTTTCCATAACTGGAGTCAAAGGATCAAATATTTGACCTCAGTTCAAGCTGCTGCTGTGGAAATGCCATTCATGGTTGAGGAGGTTCGCGAAGACATTTGGTCTTATGGTGGGGAAATGTCTTCGGGTCAGGATGGTTTCTCGTTTAACTTTGTGAAAAGGTATTGAGATATTTTAAAGAATGATATTGTAATGTTTGTCATGAACTTTTATAATGATTCCTAGATCGATTTTAATTATAACGCCTCATTCATTACGTTGATTCCAAAGGTGTCAAGTCTGATGGTAATTTCTGATTATCGTCCAATCAGTTTGATTGGTTTGCAGTATAAAGTTCTTGCACAATTAATGGCAAATAGGATTGCAAAGGTGGTTTATAGTGTTGTTAGTATGGAACAATTTGCATTTGTTAAATATAGGCAAATTCTTGAATGGGCCGTTAATGGTCAATGTGATCGTTAATGGGCCGTTATAAACCGATGAGACGAAGAACGCAAAAAACGGAGCCCACATGAGGGAGATACGATTTTTGAAAAATCATTTAGAATACTCCCCTCTTTACAAATAATGGGCTAAAAATAAGTTTGGAATTTGCTAAAACAACCTAAAGGAAAGTTGTAGTACTCGACGACACCTACGCGTGTGTATAAAGAACGTCGAAAACGGAGCCTATATGCGAAAGATACAAAATTTACAAAATAATTAATTTTGGGTGTGCGGCTCGTGCGTCACACGTGGCACGCGTACTAATGCCAGATTCACGAAGATTCGGGACGAGGCCTGATGAGAGCGAGATACGTGTCCGTGTCCGGGTGGAGCCAATGTGTAAAAGCGCAACGTGCACCCATAAGGATCGTGTGGCGCACACTTCCAAACCTACTATAAATAGAAGGTCGGGGGCAGACTCATTCTGCACCCCAAAATCTCTCACTCATAATCTCGAGTTCAGAGCTCTCTCCCTCTCTCTCCCTCTCCCGAGTCCCGACGCTCCTGAAGCAACCCAATGTCCGAAAAACACGCTACTCGGGTGAGTTCACGGCCCCCCTTTAATATTTCAAAAGTTTTCTGGGGGAATACATGTTAGTTAATAAATTATTGATTTCTATAATTATCGTTACTTATTATATCAAAATTTATTATACAATGTTGATAAGCTTGAATCATTAGGATAATATTATGCCCAACTCTTATGGATAATATTATGCCTAGTCATTATGATGCACAAACTTTTAGGATAACATTATGTCTAGTAGTTACTCTGCCCAAATTCTAAGAATAATATTATACCTAGCTGTTACTCTGGTCAAATCCCTCAAATAATATTATATCTAGTTGTTACTATGCCAAATTTCTCGAGTAACATAGTACCTAATCATTACTCTGCCCGAATATCCTTTAAAGCAACTAAACTATTATAATTGTATAGTTAAATATAATTATATAAGTAAAGTGATGGAAACCAAAGTAATGGAAAGCAAAGTATGTTATAAGGCTAAACAAAACAAGTGTTAAATGAGACAACAGGTTCATCATATTATTCTAATGAAATTTTAGTTGATACCCCGAAAGCCTATAATTGTTAAATATTAAGTAAGCGAGAGAGTTATATATAGATGTATACGGGGTCAACACCCCCACATGTGGTTGCTAACTACAACCACGACATGGATAAATGTCTAAACTTATTACGACGTCTGATGAAGCGTCGCATGGGACATTTCAATTTGTCAAAAGCTCGATTACGGGAACCCATTGTAATATTGTTCCGCCAACCTTAATTAATTAAACTGCCTAAAGGGGAGCGCCTTGAAAGTAGTATTAGTATACATACATACAGTTGAAAAAGGAAATTTCTTAAAGAGAATATGTAGTATACACACACACACACACATATATATATATATATATATATATATATATATATATATATATATATATATATATGTGTGTGTGTGTGATACTTATACTACAAACATTTGATAGGGGAATGCCTATCGTACGAATTATATCATGAAGAACGGATAAAGTACGAAAGCTACAATTCCTATAAAGGTACCCTGACAAAGCAAATCAACTACATAGGTTGAATGGATGGTATCCTGCTGACCTACCTAAAGTAAACAACTACATAGGTTGAATATGACAATATCATGTTAACCTACTATGAACACTAAAAAGGAATATGAAAGCAATAGTACCTAAATAATAGAATGCTATTTTTAATTAAAGGTACTCCAAAATTGAAGTTAAAAATACTTATATACAACTAAACATAGTTTGTATGAAAATGTATTTTCTAGTTATTATAATTCAAACCTGTGAACTCACCAACATTATGTTGACGTTTTCAAAATCGCATGTATTCCTAAGGAATCAAAGGATGGAAGATTGCATCACTGGAGACCAAGACACAAAGATATAAGCTAATAATATATTTTATTATGTAAGACTAATGTTCAAGGAATTCAAACTAATGTAAT